GCCATGACAACCTCTGGCCTGTACTTCTCGTGCGTATTATATATGAACTCATAGCTACAGCAGTGAATTATAGTAATACAACAGGAGTTGTAAAAATGTCACCCTGGTTCAGAATTTTCACTCTTGCTGCAAGAGTTAGTGGTTTAAGGTGTCAGCATTAGCACTCTCCAGTGGTATTACTTGCTAGCATTTTGTGTCTAATTACAATGTGCTGTGGGACACCGGAATGAGTCCCACATGCACTCGCTAGAGAAAATGCCTATATCAACAACTTCCTCTGTTAAATTGAATTTGCAGGATTAGCTGTCTGAAGTGAGTTTCAGTGGGGGGGGGGAGGTGTTTAGGATAGTCCCCTTCATTAGTTTGTTTAGAGAAAAGTTCTATCCTGAAAAAGATGGTTTAAGCAAAGCATAAAGAATGTTTTCTAAAACTTTCAATGATTTCCTGTTGACCACCAAATGAAGTACAAATTCTTGACCTTGGCATTCAAAGCACTCTACCATCTGATTCCAATCTTTCTTTCATCTTACTCCTCCCCACCCCAAAAAAAAACACGCTACAGTACAATTAAATCAATTACTCAGGCATTGATTAAATGCCTATTTGCCAGGCTTTGGGGATACAAAGGCAAAAGGAAAACAGCCCTTGCTGGAAGAGACTTTTAAATGAATAGGGGAGATAACATGTACATATATAGGTATATGCAATGAATTTGGGACTCTTAAATTGTAACCATCTCAAGATTCTAAAGACTCTTAAGATATATGAATAATGTCTATTGTTCTATTGTTACCTATTGGAATTGATGATAAATACAGGTAGGTAACACCTAGGCAGCTATATGGTACTATGGATAGAGTGTTAGATTCAGGAAGACAAAACAGTACCAAGTATGGCCCAGTCATTACCTCTAGAAGTACTCGGATCCTGGTGCTAACACATCCTAAGTCAGGAAGTAAGGCAGGGAAAATAGGTAAATGAAAAGAATCACACCAAAAAGAACTATTATGGTGTCAGGGACACCCACAACACAAACTCATTAGAAAAGAGTGCCTCTAAAATATCTACAACAAAACTTCAAAGAAAAACAATTTAGCCACAAGTTCAACTAGACTTCCTAGAAAAAATGAGGCAAGACTTTTTTTAAGAGTCAAAATGATTTTAAGAATAAAATGAAAATTCTAGATGAAATAACTGGAAAATATAGTAGAACTCTATAGGAAAGACTTAAAGGAAAATTGAGAGCTTAGCACAAGTGGTACAAGACATTTCCCAAGGAATAGAGTCCTGAAAATTAGAATGCAGCAAACAGAAGTTAAAGACTCTGGAAGACAACAAGAAATAGTAAAACAAATTTTAAAAGCTTAAAAAAAAAACAGAAAATGATAGGAATCTCATATCAAAAATAATTGACCTGAAAAAAAAAATCAGAGACAATATAAGAATCACTGAAATTCTTGAAAACCATGACTAAAAAAAATGAAAATGGACGTAATATTTCAGGAAATTTCAGGAAAAACGGTGTACATTTTGTAGAACCAGAGGGTACAGTGAAAATAGAAAGAAACCACTGGTTACCTCCTGAAAGAAGTCCCAACATGAAAACTTCAGGAACATTAAGGAAAAACTTCAGAAACATAGGCTATACATATATATTCCTATTAAACATATTTTCACATTAGTGATGTTGTAAGTAAGAGTTAGAACCAATAGGAGAGGAACCACCAGAAAGAAGAAACAAAACACAACAGAAGAAAAAAATAGCAAATAGTATGCTTTGATCTGCATTGGAAAAATCTAGAGGTTGCAGGGGAAAGAAAAAAAAATACTGTAAGCATTCAGGAAAAAAATACAATAGAGACAGTGTCAGGATCCCACAATATTTAGTATTCATCACAATAGTTGTCATCACAATAAAGGGGTGGGGAGCTTGAAATACTAAATTTCAAAAGGCAAAAGATAAGTTGTACAACCAAGTCTATCAATATTAGTCATCGCACAATGTGGCTGTTACTGTGTACAACATTCTCCCGGTTCTGCTCACTTCACTCAGCATCAGACCGTACAAGTCTTTCTAGGTTTTTCCACCAAGCTGATCTTAATCTTATAAAGAATAAGTGAACCTTCAATGAAATAAAGGACTTCCAAGCATTCCCGATAAAAAATGCCAGAGCTGAGTAAAAACTTTGGAATAAAAATTCATGGATCAAGAATAATGTGTCCCCAATTGATAAATGGTCAAAAGATATGAACAGGCAGTACTCAGATGAAGAAATTCAAGCCATCTATAGTCATATGAAAAAAATGCTCTAAATCACTATTGATTAGAGAAATCCAAATCAAAACAACTTTGATTTAACACATCACACCTGTCAGATTGGCCAATGTGACAAAAGAGGAAAATCTTCAATGTTGGAAAAGATGTGGGAAAATTGGAACACTAATGCATTGTCCATGGAGTTGTGAAATGATCCATTTTGGAGAGCAATTTGGAACTATGCCCAAAGGGCTATAAAAATGTACATTAACCCTTTGACCCAGCAATAGCACTTCTAGGTCTGTATCCCAAAGAGATCGTACAAATGGGAAAAGGACCCACAAGTACAAAAATCTTTATAGCAGCTCTTTTTGTGGTGGCAAAGAATTGAAAATTGAGAAGATGTCCATCAATTGAGGAATGGCTGAACAAGTTGTGGTATATGAAGGTAATGGAATATTATTGTGCTATAAGAAATGATGAACAGGCAGACTTCAGAAAAACCTAGAAAGACTTGTATGGTCTGATGCTGAGTGAAGTGAGCAGAACCAGGAGAATGTTGTACACAGTAACAGCCACATTGTGCGATGACTAATATTGATAGACTTAACCTTTCTCAGCAATACAAGGATCTAAGACATCTCCAAAGGTCTCATGATGGAAAATGTTATCTACATCCAAAGAAAGAACTATGGAATTTGAATGCAGATCGAAGCATACTATTTGCTATTTTTATTCTTCTGTTGTGTTTTGTTTCTTCTCTCTGGTGGTTCCTCTCCTATTGGTTCTAACTCTTACTTACAACATCACTAATGTGAAAATAAGTTTAATAGGAATATATATGTATAGCCTATATCAGATTGTGTGCCATCTTAGTGGGGAGGGAGGGGGAGAAAAATTTAAAACTCAAAAGCTTATGGAAGTGATTGTTGATAAATCAAAATAAATTAATTTTAAAAAGAATTACTAAAAAGAATAATATGAAAAGGTAAATATAAGTAAGTAATAGGAACTAAAGATGGGGTATTTATATTGTAATTGGGTATATAACACCAAGGTTCCCTCAGAATACTAATATCATCAAGGGTTTTGCTATATTTTAATGATCTTAAAATAAGGAAAGGGAGGGACAAAGTAATACACTTAAGAAAAATGGGTGAGCAAAGGGAAGGGGAGGAATTATCTAATTAAATCAAGGTGCTCAAATGAAAATCTATTCAAATAAGGAGGAAATCAGTTTAGAACCACACCCATAAAGTTATAAAATTGTTCATACCATTCGATGCAGCAGTTTTACAACTAGACCTATACCCTGAGTAAATCAAAGAGAGAGGACAAGGATCCATATTTACAAGAACAATTAAATTATTTCTTTTCATGGTAACCCAAAACTGGAAACTAAGGGATTTTTTTTCAGCCTAGATGAACAGATTTAGTATAGAATCATAAAATCATGGAGTCATAGAACTGCAGAGTTGGAAGGAACCTTGATTGCTGTTAAATGGGCTAATGAATGGAGCGCTAGACTCAGGATCAGGAAGACCTGAGTACAAATCCAGCTTTGGATGCTTACTAACTGTGTGATGCTGGGCAAGTCCCTTAACCTCTGTCTGCCTCACTTTCCTCATCTATGGAAATAATAATGGCACCTAGTTCCCATGGTTGTGGTAAGGATAAAAATGAAATGGTATTTGTAAACTGCTTTGAAAATTTTAAAGTACTGTATAAATGTTAGCTACTATCCTAAAATGCAATCCTTAAGCACGTCATGATGGCACACACAAACATACCTCAGCATGAACACATTATTTATCTAATTATGACAAAATAATTTAGCAAATCATAACAGTCTAAATACTGTGTTGTTACACAGAAAATGTTAGACAACATAGTAAAAGGCTTTCAGTGTGATGGATGAATGTTCTTTGGGCATTCATGAGTGGACATGGACAAGATACCATGTGACACTTTATAGTATTAAAAGACATGCATGAGTTGTAGGCTAAATCTGTACAGGCAATACTTACACCAATGAAATCACAGATCCATCAGAGTACTATTTTTTAAACTTTTCAGAAACGTAAATAGCATGCTCCATGGATCCCCAAAGAGCATTTATCCAACCGCTGAAAGGCTGAAGGCCTTTGAAGTCATTTAACATTTTGAGTTTACCAATATAATATTCAAATGTACTAATCTGGGGCAGCTAGGTGGCACAGCGGATAGAGCACTGGCCCTGAAGTCAGGAGGACCTGAGTTCAAATCCGGCCTCAGACCAAACACTTGACATGTACTAATTGTGTGACCTTGGACAAGTCACTTAACCTCAGTTGCCTCTCCAAAACAAAAAAACAAAAAACAAATGTACTAATCCAATTAGGTTCCTCAAAGAAAATATTTCCTCAAAGTGATTTAAAGTTTTGTTTTTTTTTAACATGCTGTTTTCAGTCTAAATGTGCAAGGGAAAAAAGTTCACTTTATAGTCCACTTTTATTCATAGTTTATTTATTACTTTCTTAAATTGACTTTTTCTAAAAATCTGCTATAGATACAGGCAGATTTTTTATAATCAAAGTTAGAATTTAGTCAAGGAAAATAAAATGACACATAGCAATTTTCACAGGGATCATAACCATTTAACACAGGACTTTTTTGTTTACAAATACAAATAATTTCTACATCAATAGCATTTCTACTCACTGAATTCTAATGTACTCTCACTTTTCTGTTCTCCTTTCCTCAGATAATAGTTGGAGAAACTGCTGTGTTTTGCCTGCAACTAGCCACAAGGGATTTTGAAAACCAAGAAAAAACTATTTTAACAGGAGACTGTTGCTATATAAATCCACTGGTACGCAGAACTGTCCGATTTCTTGGTACGTGTTCTTTGTATTGATTTTTACTGTTTTTGAAAGGATGCTTATGTACAAGCTAACAATTCAAACCCCCAGCAATGTTACTCAGTCATCTCTCTGATATTTATTAATTTGATTATAAAACAAAACTTTCTTGTAAACAACTTGTTTTCAAATACTGTGAGACCCTTTATGGTTGATATGTTATTTTCAGAGAATCATTTTTATTCACAATAAGGTCTAGAATTATAAAAAGATGACCAGAATATTTTATTAACCAAAGCAACTACAGAATGGGGTTATTTCATTCTATTTTTTAAAAAAATTGAAACAGATTATTGGACATCATGTAAACTAAAAAGAAAATATAAATGAGGGAGGTTGAGTGGATTTTCTACTTCTCATTGAGTTTCCTGGGCATCTGGAAGATACAGTTTGTGGGTTACATAATATATTCACTTCAGGCTTCTCTCTTTGTCTATGTATTTGTCTGTGTTTGTAGATTAGAATCAAAAAATAGCTTCCCACATGCAGGCATATATAGATGCCTGGAAAAATGTTGTTTTTTAGTCTCATATATACTCCTATGGTATGTAATATATCAAAGCTGAACTTCTGGAAATTTTCATTAGAGATATAAGAATGGTTCATTTTGTTAAAAGGTATAAGTCTAGGTAACCAAGAGGCAAACTTTGTGTGAGCTGCACTTATCCATAATTTATTGACTTCAATACCACATCATTTTATTATACTGAATGTTGACTCCTACAGTGTTAAATTGCTGAAGATCATTTCAAGTTAATAAAATTTGGATAAAAGAAATATTCACTTCTTAGAACACACAATATAAAATAAGGAAAGTCAGTACCTACAGAATTAATGAAATACAGAGAGGAAAAGTCTTTTTTTTCCTGCCACATAGTGAAGGTCAATTTTGTTCTGTGTCAGGCTTCCCTTCCTAAGTAGGAGATATCCTAATACTCTGTCAGCCTTCAGTTTGGCGGCTTCTCCTTGGCAATATTGAGATGAAAAAGGGTTTTATATTGCTGTCTAACTGATGTTGCTATCTAACATACTAAGATGACTACTAAGTATGATAATAAGTTATATTTTCCCTTAATAGAGCTATGAAAGCTAAATTTCTTTAAGTATGCTGCCATTCTGATTGTTGATCCATGTTAAAAGTCTACGTTTACACACATAATAATTCCTTATGTGAAAACTTAGCTCAAGGTTTCCAAAAACCCCATCAGTACTAATTACCTACTTAGAAAAGAAATCAAAACCATTAAAACACCCCAAACTCATCAAATTTGTTTTACACAATTTAAGCTTTCCCATACTCTGGCTCACATATTAAATTGTACCTTTCAAAGTAAACCATTAAGTGGTTCATAAATATCATCAATTTATCTTCCTGCCATAATTATACAAAACTCTAATTCCTTGGTTTTTGTGAAGCATTTTTCCTTCTAAAAACCTATTCTATTCAGCCTACAAAATGTACTTGAGGAATAAATACCACAAAATAATCCCTGTTATGTTCAGTCCTGGTATGATTTTTAGAAGAAGGGGGGGGGAATGTTGGCTCTGTTCCCAGTTCAATACCTACACTGATATATTCACATCAAGAATCTGCCATTTAGCGAAGTGCTAGTCTTTAGGGGCCTGGGTTTTTGACTTGAGTCTATGGATAGATTCCAGGAGTCTGTGAATTTATGGTAAATCACAACCTTATTTTCACTAACTTCTAACTGCAATATTGGATTTCCTTCAGTTATGAATTAAGAAAAAACAAAAACATTTTTCTCAGAAGGGGTCGATAGGCTTGATGAGACTGCTAAAGCCACAACCCAGAGAAGATTAACAACCTCTGTTCTAGGGCTTTCTCAGACTTTGCTGTAGAATAAGGCACATTATTTTACAAACTGGGACATTCCATTTAAGGTAAACATTTGTTCATAAGATCTTCCTTAATTGATTGTTGTTGTGGTCTATTAAAAGATTTACCTTGGGCTTGACATATTGATCATTTGAATTATAATTCTAAAAGACACGTATGAGGAGGGGAGGGTTCTGAATTGTCACATTGCTTGACACACAGTATGTACTTAAGAAGTGCTTGTTGATTGATTATCAGTGACTAGCCAAATATTTGCCAACATTTTTCATGTTATTTTCACAAGAAAAAAATGTGATTAAGTTGACAAGGGAATAATTCCATTTAAATAAAATGTATGCTTCAAGGGAGGCTATTTGTGAGCAGATTTGTAATCTGGAACCTACTGTAGACAGGATCTTTGGAAAAAAAGTGTGATGTAATTTAACTCAGTATGATGAGATTTAATTCCCTGGTTAATAAATTTTGTTGTTGTTAAATTATTCCCAATTCCTCAAAGTCACATACCCCAATTAAAAAAAAAGATTAAATTTTGATGAATATTTGTTTTTTACAATTTAAGTATGAGTTTGGTAGTCAGGGTGATAATTGTTGATTATTTGGGATAATAATATTGATATTTATATAGTGTTATATGATTTTTTATAAAATACTGAAAAATTGTTTCTTAGCATTATGTAACCCTAAGATATCATTTGATCCCTCCAATATTATCTTCATTTTGCATACCAGGAAATTGAGCTTTAGAGAGATTAAAAACTTTCCCATGGTCACATGGCTAGTCATTTTTGAAAGCAAAATTCAAATCTAGCACTTCCTGGCAAGTGTTGTTTATTCTACACCAAGGAAGTGATTTGATTATTTTTCTTTGATTGTTTTTAGTTTCAGAAGAAATTAGGCTTATTCATTGCTATTAGGTTATAACAAAAGTATGTTATATGGAGAGGTGCTCTCAGTCAAATACACTGTCACCTTACTTTACCTGTGCATACTTAGAGGCAGCAAGCCATAGTGGCTAGACATCAGGTCTAGGAACTCAGGAAGGCTGGGCCATGTGACCCTGGGCAAGTCCCAGTGCTCAGAGGCAGTTGTGTAAGACATTTAGGTTGCTCAAAAACAGTGATAGATTCAGTTTGCTATATTTGGACCCAAAAAAATCATTGTTGTAACCATGCATAGAGTAGAAAAAGGCTATTCTAATGCCATATAGCTACCCCTCCTATTTTCTGTACCTGGATTTTTTTAAAATGTAGATTTTTTTCTTTTAAAATCCTACCAAAGAAATTTATAAGGATTAAACATTTCCTTCTTTTCTTTAAACATGAGACTTTTATGATTCCCCCCCCACCACCAAAAATGAAAAAACAAAACAAAATAAAACAGTTTCTTTCAATGTTTCTTTTATTCTTTGTCATCAGCCTGCACAAAAACTAATTCTAGTTTGGCAGGATTTAGAGGTACTGATGAAAATGACAGGATATTTAGATTACAGAGGATTTGTTTTACAGTTTTATAACTTTTAAAATGTTATTTTGGCAATGTTAGAACATTATACATTGGTCCTAGAATACTTTCTTAGAGCTGTTAATTATTATAGGAGGATTTTTTTAATACTGAAATAACATGGCTTCAGTAAATGTTTCATGTAGGGAAATAGTTCTGGACATTTGATCTTATTGTTTAAAGTAACTCAAGGGGATGTATCATCCTATTCTTTTAATAAGAATTATTATAGGTCTTTGGTCTAAGACAGATAGCCAAATGACCATCATTTTATCAATAACCCGCTGGTATTATTAATGAAATGATTAAACTACTCTAATAATAATAATAACATCATTATTTCATTGCTTTTGTTAGAATTATTTTGGAATTATATATCTAAACGTATATGCATACCCATGTATGTACACATGGCTCCAGTCCATTAAAAGTGATAGTTTGGGGCCAAATAATTAGCTATTGTCTAATGAAAGTTTGTTTCTGAGGCAATGTAGGTATTCCTCTGAAACCATTATTCTTCATTTAAGATTTTTCAGGATAATAAAATGCAATGCCATTGACTTTTAGTGCTAAACGGCAACTCCATCAAAAATATCTGTATGAGGAAGGATATAGAATGTACCTCATAGAATAGTACATTTAGTTAGCATTTTAGTATGCTGATGAAAATATTTCCAGACAAAAGAAGAAATGTGGATCTCACCATAATAGCATAACTAAGAATATAGACTCTGATAAATTGCTTTAAATATACAAGTAACATTTCTGAAGCAATCAAGCAGCAAGCATTTATTAAGTACCTATGTGCCAGACACCATACTAGGTGCAGGGGCTACAAGTACAAAAGTGAGACAGTCCCTGCCCTCAAGGAACTTATATTTTATTGGAGAGGGGTGAATAAGATGCACAAGGATAATTAAATACAATATTTATAGGGGAAAAAGTAGTATTCAGTGATGGTACTAACAACTGAAAGAACTAGTAAAGACCTCCAAAGTAGGTGGCACCCAGGCCTGAGCCTTAAGGATAGTTAATGGTTCCAAGATTCCAGAATACATTTTCCTCCTGCAAGTTATGTCTTATAAACATGCCAGGCATAAAATTATAGCTGGTGGCAGACAGCTGAACACAACACTCAAGAGTCTGAAATAATTTAACACTCTCGCCCCACCAGATGGTTAAGGAAAGGAGGTGGAGGGAAGAAGAGAGGGCCATATGTATAAAATGTTTGTGGTTCCCAAAATGTTTTCCCTGTTGATTTATTGTCTACTAGAACTCAAGGTAACCTAGGGGATTCACTATTTTCTTTCTTCCTCAGGGATTTATACCTTCGGGCTGTTTGCTACAGATATCTTCGTGAATGCTGGGCAGGTAGTGACAGGGAATCTGGCTCCACACTTCCTTGCACTCTGCAAGCCCAACTACACGGCTCTTGGGTGTCAGCAGTTCACGCAGTTTGTCAGCGGTGAAGAGGCCTGTACTGGTAACCCAGATCTCATCATGAGAGCTAGAAAAACCTTTCCTTCCAAAGAAGCAGCACTGAGCGTGTATGCAGCGATGTATTTGGCAGTAAGTAAGGATTATCAAATATTCTTCTCTGTGTTATCCAATTAAATATTAGCATTAACAGTAGATGCATTTTGATTTTTGCTTGCTATTGAAAAAGTCACTTAATAGCACATTATTAACTTTCCTCTGAGCATTTAATTTATTTTTAATAATGGCTATATGTATCGGGGGGGTAAAATTAAATCTCTTGGCTCTCATGAGATCTGGTTTTGGTGGTGGGCCATATTAAAAAATACATACAGTCATTAGCGTTTCTATTTGTGGATATGTTTATCTTCCTATTAAACAGGATTTAATGGAGATGAATGTGTCCTTCAGCTTTTCTCATGAACTTGCAACAACAACCCAATTAAGAAAATCACCAAGTTGTCTTTGCCCACTCAGTTTCCATAATCCCTTTGAGGAAATGTCATGTGTTTCATGTCATGAAACATCCTTCTCATGAACGGGGTTTTTGTCCTTATTGGTCATGATGCTTTAGCCAGAGCTATAATATTTATTGATATAAGTGCTACCCACATGGCCCTATAAATTATCCTCTCCTTTGCCTGTATCATGTTCATTGTCAATTCATGCTAGGGTTTACAAGACCAGACCTTTAGAGACTGTTGATTTCCTCCCACATCTGCATTTTGAATAGCTGCCAAAAGGTTCAGCTAGGTAGGTGCATACCTGCTTCCTAAATGGGCCTCCTTGGGCAAATTGGGTAAGCTTAGATAATTATAGTGAAGTAAGCAACTATGCAACTATTTCTTTAATGAAATAAATCACTATTAACAGGATGGTTATTAGTGATGTAGTGGAGAGGGCATGGGATTGGACTTGGACTTGGGAAAGCCTGGGTTCAAACTTGCTACCCATGTGACTCTGGGCAAATTGCTTCAACTCTTTGAACCTGTTTAGTGATCTATAAAATGAGGAATTTGGAATATATGATATCTAAACTCTCTCAGTTCTATATTTATGATTCTCTAAAATATACACCTTTGTGGGCAATTGGCCATCTTTCTGCTAACTGCCTACTGTTAATTAATGTTTGAACTAACCCCGGTTTTCCCTGTCAGGACTAAGAAACTCATCCTTACTCTTGTCTTAAAATCAGATGCCTTATATACAACTGTAGTTCTGACTCTAACATGTCAGGGAAGCTGGAGCAGGCAATTTGGAAACAAAGGGGATAATAGGTCATGTCCTGGAATCAGGATAAGGAGTTCAGCCTAGGAAATCCAATACAGAACAGAGAATAAGGATTGAAGTGGGCCAAGGCCAGAGAGGATCCTGGATGCTGGTGGTTAAAGGAGAATTGGGAGTCTAAAATCAGCCAATTTAGGGCATGTACTTACCTAAAGTCAGGGCCGGGTAGTAGGTCAGAATCTAATACTCAGGCAATATCTGAACTATTAGGAAGGCATAAGGTCAAAAGAGTCAGTTTTTTTTAAAAATTGTACTTTTAATTTATGGAATAAAACAAGTATTTCTATAATATAGTACAATAAAAAGATGATTGTACATGAAACTGTAAATCTACTATTCCTTTCAAATATGCAGCAAAATTATCATAAATTTCTTTTTCTTTCTTTTTCTTCTCTCCTCCCTTGAGACGGGTACCATTAGACACAAATATATATATATATATGTGTGTGTGTGTGTGTGTATGTATATGTATATGTATATGTATGTATGCATGTAAATTTATTCCATACATACTTTTACTTATCAGTTCTTTCTCTGGATGCAGATAATGTCTTCCTTCATATGCCCTTCATAGTTAATCTGGATATTTATAATAGACAAAATAACTTATTTGCTCAAAGTCCTTCTTAAATTTTTAAATTCAGAAAGACAAATAGCCCAGATGCACAACCTACGTGAGAAAACTGAGTAAACAATATGGGATGTTAACAAAACAGCACTTTTATATTGACCCAGTATTTGACTTTAAATTGGAAATTTTTATATGCTTTCTTTTATGTATGTGAGCTGATTCCCAAGTATAATGAACTAGGGGAAAGAAGGTTATATAATGGAGGATCCCTTGATCAGAGGGAGGGACAGAACTTATTATTTTCTCCCCACACCAAACCCCCTTCTGAACTTCCCTAATTCTGTCGAAAGCACCATCATTATTGCAAATACCCAGATTCTCCACCTTGGCATTATTTTTGACTCATCACTCAGATGACATAGTTTTCAAATCTGATCATTTCAATTTCCATGATAGTCTTTAACATATGTCCCCCTTTCTCTTCTCAAATGGTCAGCCATGTTGTTCAGGCCTTCATCACTTCTTGCCTAGACTTTTGCAATTGATCTCCCTGTCTCAAGTCTCCCCCTTCTCCAATTTATCCTTTACAGAGGCACCAGAAAGATTTTTCCTAAAGTACAGGTCTGATCATATCACTCCCTCATGCGATAAACTCCAATGGATCCCTATTACTTCCAGGAGCAAATAAAAAATCCTATATTTAGGATTTAAAGCCCTTCAGATCCTGGCTCCAATATATTCTTCCAGACTTATTCAATACAATTCAATAAGCATTTAGCAAGTACCTACTATGTGCCAGGCACTGTGCTAATCACTGAGGATACAAGACAGCCCTTTCCCTCAAGGAAAGGAATTACAATCTAATTAGGGAGACAACATGCAAACAAATATATAAAAAGAAAGCTATATAAATAGGATAAACAGGAAATAACTAATAGAGGGAAAGAATTGAAATTAAAAAGGGTTAGGGAAGGCTTCCTGTAGAAGGTAAGATTTTAGTTGGGACTTAAAGGAAGCCAGGGAGGTCAGAAGCCAGAGCAGAGGAGGGAGAGTGTTCCAGCCATGGGGAACAGCCAGAGAAAATGCCTGAAGCTGAGAGATGTTCTTTGAACAGCCAGGAGGCCGGTGTCATTGGACCAAAGAGTACTTGTTGGGGAGTAAGGTATAAGAAGACTGGAAAACTGAGAGGGGGCTAGGTTATAGAGGGCTTTGAATGCCAAACAAAACATTTTGTATTTTTTCCTGGAAGCAATAGGAAGCCACTGGAGCTTATTGAGCATTCAACATTATTTCTCTTTCTACATTCTATGATCCAGTTAATTGTCCTTGCTGTTCCTCATGTCTGACACTACACCTCCCATTTCCATGCCTATTCACTGGTTGTCTGTCAGGCCTGAAACAATAATAATAAGAATAGTAATAAAAAAAATTATATAACACTTAAACATGCCAGGCACTGGGCTAAGCACTTTACAATTATCATATCATTTGATCCTCACAATAACCCTGGGAGGTAGGTGCTCTTATTATCCCCATTTTACAGATGAGTAAACTGAGGTAATTAGAAGTTAAGTGGTTGGAAGAGTAGGGCAGTTGCTGATAGGTTTACTGCACCTTATGTTTCTATTGATCAGGACCTACCCTTACCTGTAAAGCCAGACTCCAGAGTTAAACGTAACTTATTTTCCTCAGCTCCATAAACTTCTACTAGATATTGCAGGAATATAACAAGGTCAGGAGACTGTTTGTCTTTCTTTTCTTGAGTCAAATGCAACATCTCCTTGGTATAAGTAGTTGCTTCAAGCTGGTATGAGATTTTATAGCATCAAATGATCTTAGAAATGAAAAAGACCTATACTGAACAGGGGTAGGCTTTCCTCCATGTAGTCTTCAATCCAGTGACTCTGGCCTCCTTGCTCTTCCTTGCATCTGACTTTCTATCTCCTGAGTACCTGCGTGCCCTCTGGCTATCCACAATGCTTACAATGCTCTCTCTCCTGATCCAGACTAGAGAACCCAGCTTTCTAGTTTCCTTCAAGACTCAGCTCGAATCTCAGCTTCCACAAGAGACTTTTCCTAGTTTCTTCCTGGTCCTCCCACCTCCTTACTCCACCCCTCAAAATACAATTTACATTTACACCGCATGTATCTTTTATAATTTTTGCATGTTGTCTTCTCTATTTGAATGTAAGCTCTTTGAGAAAAAGAAATCTGTTTTTGCTTTTCTTTATATCCCCAGCAGCACTTGGCACAATGCCTGCTACATAGCAAATGATTAAGAAATTCCTATTAACTGCTGATTCAAATCTCAGCTAAAGTCTCAACATCTCTGAGAAGCCTTTCTTACTCTTCCTTAACCTTAGTGCCTTCCCTCTGAAATCATTTCCAACTTAATCTGCCCATAATTCATTTTTACATGGTTGCTTCCATATTTTCCCTCTCATTGGACTGGGAAATTCTTGAGAGAAGGGACTATGTGTTTGTTTGTTTGTTTGTTTTTGTTTGGTTTGGTTTTTCCATTCCTCGTATCATCAGGGTTTAGCATAATGTCTGCCACAAAGTAAGTGTTTAATAAATACATGCAGACTTGACATCCCACACACTTGTTCCTCTGCTTACATTTACTAAGAGAAACTCATTGCCACATGATGCAATGAGTTTTACTTTTGTTAGAAACTTTTCCCTTAAGCTGAGTCTAATTCTGCTTTTCTGTAAATCTCAACCATTGTGCCTAGTTCTGGCTTCTAGAGCCAAGTAGAACAAGTTATTTCCGAACCATGGTTTATAGCTGTAGGAAGTTTGGGTTCCTGGTCCAAGATGAAGTACAACTAACAAGGGCTAGTAAGAATGAATTTGCCATTTGGGTGACAATCAAGAGAGGTAGAAACAGAATCAATTCTGTCACTGAAATAATTTCAAGTTACTTGGAAAGAATGAGGAAATATTTGAAGAGGCCAGGACACTGATTGAAAGTCTGGCATGAAGGCATAATAAATAAATTATGAGGAACTTCATTGAAATGAGGAAGGAGAGAATTCTATAGGGTTGAGAGATAGAATGTCTTGTGTAAGAAATAGCTGAGAGGCCAGTGTCACTAGATCACTGGGTACATGGGGGGAAACAAGATCTAAGAAGTCTTGAGGGATGTCTGTGTGGAATGGGGTGACAAGGGGATATTATGGAGGGCTTTGAATACCAAACAGAGGTTTTTATATTTGATCCTGGAGGTGAAATT